GCTCACTGCAAGCCCTAATGAACTGAAGAGACGACAGAACATCATAACCAAAAAGACTTGAAACAAGATTTCAAAAATAAAATCTAGCATTTCATATAAATACATTAGACGACATAAAATATAGAAAAGCAGTACAAGATTTCATTTGAGTAACTGTATTCTGTAGTACGTGCATTTTGTTTACGCAATTTGATACAAGAAGCTACCTCAGAAGAAAAAGAGAATATTACAATACTTCTACACCTCCTTCAATATCCCCCACATTACAGCAAGTAGCAAAACTCACTTGGCACACAAGTGCGGCAATTTGCATATCTATCTTTAAATCATCACAAGAAAAAAGAATTACTGCATGTTCTTACTTTATAAATTACAGAATTCATACAATGTAAGTGTTCAGTTTCTGCTAGAGATTATTTATTTAATACAGAACTAATCTCACATAGAGAAGCCATAAATATTAGCACAACTTGAATTACACTGTTGGAATTATTTGGGAAGTATTTCACATTGAATTTGAGAAATGTGAAACCAAAAAGCGCTCCAGATTTACTTTCTTAAAAGGAAGAAGGAAAGAAACAAAAATTGTATCAAAGCTTCTGAAGATCTCCAACATACCTACCTGTAATTTCTGTGGTGTCAAGCACCAAGAATGAATTTGTTGCTGTACAGGAGGATGTGACACTGCATGGCCACTGCTCCAAACATCTGAAGTATTCTGAGAGAAAACATTACATTAAAATGCATGACTATCAAAGGGTCAATGTAATTTCTTTTACTATCTAGATTTTATCTTATTTATGAAAGAACTAGTCATTGTTTCAAGAACAACAATATAAACAAAGAACATACTAAAACATGCCAAGTCTCATTCTACCATTCAGCATCAGAATAGCCAGAGGAAAAAGTTAAATGATATCTAACATCATAACGAGAAACAATCAAACCAAATTACGCAATTAACTTAAATGTACACTACTGTTAAAACTCAATACTGTATCTACTGTAACACTATTACATGATGATGAAACACTTGAATTCTAAATATAAGCAAAGGCAATAGACAGGATGACATGATCGTCTCCCTCTCTATCATCAGACTATGACTGTACTTTTTCATTTATACAACTATGATTGTAGTATAGTGCCACCGACCTGCATTGCCCTTATGCCCTTCCTGTCTGAACTGTAACCTCATTAAACACATCACTGAAAAATGTTTTTTAAAATTCCTAAAAACATTCCCCACCTTGATGCCAAAGGATTAAAATTTACAGCACAAATTCTGTGCATGCTGCATCACTTTAATGCATATTTCCATATAATTTTGGTAGGGGGCTCTTTAGTTCATCAGAATATATACCTTTGTTGGACTAGATGTTCTTTTCCTCTTGGCAGGACTGGTCAGGTCATCTACTTGGCTAGAAGGAATCATGTGTAGTGGCAAGGATTGCTGTGAAATTGGTGTTTGAGTGAGGCCTAGTACAGGTTCAGTATTTGGATGATGAGGTTTACAAGCCTAAGAATCACAGAAGACAAAAATATGGTTCTATATATTCTTAATTCTTTCCTTTAAATTACATATTTTAACAGCCCACATATATTAAAAGGGCCGAGTAGATATTCTGAAGATGATCTCAATAACTGAAAATTCAGTTTCCATATGGTCATCAATGGAGGAATGTGTACCTTTCATGGGATTATTAAACCACTGCAGCATTTCTATTTAAGATGAAATCTTTTAAAATCATGAAAATCCACAAAGGTTCTAAATTGGTACCCCCATATTTCTCCCATATTATAGGGAGCCTCTTGATCTAGTATCCCTTTGCAAATAAATCAAAGGCTTTTTATTAATAAAAGCCAGTCCTGTGCTCAATAAAATAAGCTTGACCACTACCGATTGTAAAGAACCCTTAAAGCTGGGCACCTGCAGAACATAACCCAACTTCTCACCTGCTGCGCTGTGTTCATGGCACCCTGCCTGGAGGTAAGCTCTGCGGGGATTGGTAGGCTCCATGCCTCCTCAATACTAGGAAGTAATTTAGTTTTATTCTGTAGACTACCTTGTGGAAGGTTACACAACTGAGCCTAGGAAAAATTATGTAAAAAGCAAATTTAACACAAGCCTACTTTAGTAAGAGCAAGTCCATGAAATCTTCCTAAATGCTGTAGCTAATTATGTCTTAAAGAGAGGACAGATTTAAAATTTGGGGTTTTAGAAAGGTGCTAAGTATAAAGAGGGTAACCAGAATATAAACCTTTGTGAGAATCAGAACAAAGATGAGCTCTGGATTCAGAGGTCTCATAATTCCTTTTTTCTGAAATTGCAAACAAGAGTGAAAGATAGCATGTGTGTATTCTCTCTATATGTTATGAGAACTTAAAAATGTAGACAATACAAAGAAAAAAGCAAAGTGATGTAAAACAGTATGCTTTGATTAAATGTGCAAAATAGGGTTTATAAGGAATTAAGCTTCACTTAAAAAATGAAGAAATAAAATATTACAGGCTATGATATGCTTACAGTACACATGAAAACAGGTTATACACACCACAAACAATTGCAAGTTAAATTTGTGTGTTACTTCTCCCCTCCCCTCTGCTGTGTATTTGGAAGAGTATTTCCCGCTTCTTAAAACTTTACTTTTACCTGTAAATACTTTATCCGTGCTGCAAGTGCAGAGGTATTACTACAATTTTTGCTCCTAGTTGCATTTAAGTAGCATTTAATGGCATCCTGAGGCTGGTTGCAGGACTCATAGAGTGTGCCTAGGTCCATCCAGGCTGCAGCATGGCCATGGTCCAATTGTACAGCACAGATATAGGCCTGTAAAGCATCCATAGGCTGATTTTGCTGTTGATACAGCACACTGAATAGAAAGATTAGTGAAGTTGAGAATTAATAACAAAGTCAAAATACAAACAAGTCAAATATACACATCCCCCTCAAAACCCATAATAAACTTTGTCATTATATAAAGCACAGTAATAAGCATAAACAACACAATCTTAACATGCAAAGCTCATAGCATATTCAGTATTTTTAAAAATTGAGAAAGCAAATATAGATTTCTTATTTAAACTTCAAATCAGACAAGTCTGACAACATGAAGGTATAAATAAAAAAGCTTTATAGTCCCCTTGAGAGCACAAGAGTTAAAAAGCTGATATCCTTTATTTATATATATTAGCATTGAATTATATCACTGTATTACCCTGTATCATTCTTACCCTATAGAACACCATGTATCTGCACTTGCTTCTGATTTATCAATAGATTGCCTATAAGATATAAAGGCATCCTGAACTTTCCCAATACTTGAATAGCACCTGGGAGAAGAAAAAAAGAACTTTGGTAATATTTATAGAAGGTAATCATTGAGGGTGGCTTACCAAGTCTGATCTGATAAATGTTAAGTCATGCAAATACATACTCATCTAGATGAATCCAAAACATTTGCTGTTTCTGAACACCAGGCATAAGCAGACTCAAACATCTTAATCAACATGTATTACTAATTATTTATTTGAAAAGTACACCAAAACTACTTAAACCCTAGCTTATTGCATTTGTAAGGAAAACAGAAGTCATACCACATTTTCAAGACTTACATTTTTCATTTATGACAACTTATCCGTCATTAAGAACTATATTTATCTACAGACAGCATTATAAGGACACAATTAAGTTACCTATTTTATCAAACAAATGGTTTTGAAACTTCATGTTCTACAAGAATTGCTTCAGATTAAGAGATATTGACCAACTCAATCAGGATGATTCCTGATTGCCTGGGAAGTTTTTTATGTGCATTTGTCACATCTCAATAAGATTTCAAGTAACGAACAACAAATCAGTTAGTTTTACTGCATATATAGAGCACGAAATTTTGTAAAAAAACTTGCTGTTCTGGATTTTTTCATAATTTCTTACGTGAATATTTTTCACATACAAATTCAAAGTTATTCTGCCATTATAAGCAGAAATGTCAGAACTCTGAAGAGAATTACAATTATACTACAGGGAATAATACCTACCTTTTTAAAATGAAAAGCTTCAAATAAATACAATATTAAAAAAATAATATACATGTTTACTAGCTTAATCTACAATAGTTGTGCTTCTTACATCGTTTGTAATAAGTTTCCCTGTTGGAAAAAGAACTGACAACTTTCAAAACACATACATAACAACAGAAAATTTATTCTAGTAGAAAATAAAACCCAAGCAGAACAGTAGAGGCAAAGGTTTGTCAAACATGCTACCACCTTTCATATATTCTTGAGGCACCCTAGGAAAGGAATACAATAAAATCTAGCAGTATTTTGCCTAAAACAGCCATTAAGTCTGAATACAATGTTTCAGAAGACCATTTTAATCACAATCTAACCCAAGTTCCAATAGACATGTTTCAATCTGTCTGTTTATCAGATACATGAAGACTCTGATTAGGACAGCACTAACATTAAGCACCCAACAAAACTTAACACAAGGTGATGGATTTTTTTTTCAGTAAGGGAGCAGGGGGGTGGTGGTATCTTTTTGAAAGGTGCCTTTAAAGCAACTTGCTATCCAGTTTGGACAACCAGAGGAGGAAGGAATAACACAAGAGAATACATGAGGAGGCAAAAAGAGGAAGGGCAAATGCAAAACCCTGTAACCCTGTTCCTTTCCTCTCCTTCTGCCAGCATATGGACTGAAGGAATGAGGCACAGAAACGTTTTTGCTCCAGTCCTCCCTGCAGAGTATGAGAGGTGCTTCCACTAGATTTTCTTCCCCCATTTCCTGCTCCCCCTTGTTTGTATGGTCCCAGGTTTCATTCTAGCCTCATGAAAGCCGTGGCACAGTAGAAGCAGCAGCACAGCAGCTGCGCACACATACTTCATGGAGCCCTGGCTCCGTCCTGCTGCTATGTAAGAACTCAACTAGCTCAAGGCACGTGGAACAGGGCTACTGAGGGAAAAACAGGATTTCAGTCGAGTGGATGATGAGCCAGATGATCCGTGGCCCATTTTCCTTTTTCTCTCCACACCTGCTCTAACCCTTTGCCCTTCACACTCAGTGCCCGTGTTCTTCCCTTAGCCTGCAGCTGCTCAGAGCCCTGTCTTACAGGAACAGCTGGAGGAATATAATTAGGATGACAAAACCAAAAGCAGGTTCCAGTTGTATGTGACCAGAACCTCCAAGAAAGTCAGAAGATACTGAGGGTAGGATATTAATTTTATTTTTGCATAATTCCTTTCCAATGTATTTCTCAACAGAACTGACCTATTCACATATGGACTTGAACTACCCTCAAAGCTTTCTCCAAAACATAATTATTTCAAGAGTTACTGCTGGCTTGTGTAAAGTAGTCTATTTTCTTAAAAAGGAGACCAAGAAAAGTCATCAAATTTATATGATTTACATCTTGGAATAAGTTATTTTTCAAGTAAAAACTACTGTCTGATAGCACAGAATTAATACAACACTTAAATAGACATTAGAATGGATCAATCTGAACTATCTTGGCCTAATATTTAGTTGCAATATATGCTGTTTAGAAATGGATGTATATCTGGGAAAATATTTGTATTTCAAGTGCAAAAAATGATTGAGATTCGAAGGGATATTCTGAGAAAATAGAGAGATAGAGAGTTGTGAAAAAGGTATGAAAAGAGCATTTACAAAAAAAAAAAGGGGGGGGGGGAAGGCAGAGAGGAAGAGAATAGAAGATGTGGGAGGAGGAGAAGAAACAGGTAAAACCAGGTAGGGCAGACTCAGATTACTGTAAATGTGTAAAATGTGTAGACTGACTGATAACTACAAAAAAAGAAAAAAAAAAAAAAAAGGCAGGACCACTTGGGTAACATACTTCATTTCAACTTCTAATCTATATTCATCCCAAATGTTAGCACCTTGTCTTTTTATACACTTTCCAGAAAACTAGACTTCAGTAGATACATACATCCTTTCCCTTCATTTTCCCTCTGAAAATATTAAGAAGAAAAACAATGTAAGATACTCACAATAATGAGTATCCTCAAAAAATTTACAAATATAGTTACAGTGTCTATAGTCACTTCTCACCTTCCAAGGAAATACCAGGATTGACCAGAATTTGGATCTGCTTCTAGAGATTTCTGGAGATACTGTATAGCATAGCTTTCCTTGGTTGCCTTGTCTCCAAGCTGATCCACGGTGTGATGCATCCAGCCTACAAGAAGAATCCATAAATGGCAGAAGTGAAATTCCCCAAGACTGTTCAACACTTTGGCGCAGCAGGATATTTGCAGCATTAGGTCCTCTTTAAAAACAGGAATATCAAACAACAGTATCGCATATAATATTATGAATGAAACTTTTAAAACTTTTGAAGTTCTATACTAAAATTACAGGACAAAAGGACCCTACGTCAAAATTACTTTCAGGTACTTTTAAAGCGTTTTTTTGTTCTAATAATTTTCTATGAGGTTTGTAGCATAATTATGAACTGCTCAATATTCTACTATAAAAAGTTAATCTGAAAATGTTAACTCTTTCCTCCTCTGAACACAGGTACCTTCCCTATCACTGTGAAAAACGCCACCATTCTCCCTGTCACGCCCATCAATTATCTGTACATTATGTTCAGTTTACTCCTTTTCTTCTAAATCCTCATATTTATCCCATATCTACATTTGGACAATTCCCGAACAGAACACTGGTAAGTATTTTTATATCTTCATTTAAATCTTTCTTACATTGTCATTTCACACCTTCATTGCTGAAACATCCTTTCTGTTCACCTTGACAAATGCAATCCCCTCTCATTTGCATAACAAATTCTGCTGAAAAGATCATTTTATTTCCTCATCTAACCACACATCATGTTCTTTCAAATGCCTGTTTTTCTTTCATTACATTAGACAAATTATTCGTCCTCACTCTAAAGGCCTTCCACAATCCATGCTCCCGTATCATCTTTTACATGCTATTAAAACGCACCTCTGCTCTAGCACTGATGCAAGGCTTGGTTACCATTAGAAATGAAGCACCTTCATCATCTTCTCAAGCTGCTCCTCATCTGCCTCTATGCTCACATAGAATCCCTTTAAGCAGCCACAAAATCATCTCAGTGCCATTCATATCACAAGTACAAGGAAATCCTTTATAACAGGCAACTGGCTTGCTGAAGTCACTACATGCCACACTGGTCAGCAATGTCTTGCTGTTTGCTTAATCTCCATGTATTTGTTTTAACAATCCACTGCTTTTCAGCCAACGTTGGTAAAACTTAAGATGTGACAATGGATTGTCCCTCTGTTTTTATAGTGTCTCGCCTATAAACAGTCCCTTGTGGAACACTATGATACCAATTTCATAAAATATCCAAGGTTTGTATAAAGTTTTAGTTACCTACAGAGCTGTACACACCTCTGCGCTAAATGTCCATTTAAAACCTGCATCAGCTAAACTTCAGCACCCTAAGCTTATCCTTTTTGATACAGGCTAACTACATGAACAGGTAATACCACTCAAAAGATCCAGACCAAATCCACATCTCATCTGAAATGCTACAGAAAGTAGGGAAGGCTGAGAACTGAACTGATGAGAATTTGCAGCCTTACTTCACTCTGTAATTAGACTATACCTTAAATATTTTTATTCTACCTGTTCTATACAGCTTATATTTTATTCCATGGGCTTACAGTCTGTCAACGGTCACGGCGACACTTTTGGAAACAGAAGGCAAACTTCCGAACTTTGAAAAAGGCAACCTAAAAGAAAATTCTATCTATTGAACATTTGCCTAAGGTGTTTTATGAAGTATCACTTGGAAACTGTGGTCAGAAGCTTGAATATTTCATGGACTGCAAGAAATGTCAGGTTAGGAGCCACGTGGTTACAGCGCTGGAAAAAAAAGAGTACTTTATATCTTGTCTGAAGATGGATCAAGTTAAACCCTACCCATCGGGGGGATACACAACTTTCTCTCATGGACTTCATAAACAAGCTATGATCTTGATTCAAATCCCAAGTCACTGAAGTTCTTAAGCATACAGAAAACACTCATGCTTTAAGAAAAAAAGGCTTATGTGAAGGTGGTTATCAGAATGCATCTGCGTAACTGTACACTAAGGATAAATATATCGGGTGCAGTGCCAGGCAAAGCCTGAGATAAAGGTAACGGTTCAGGGATTATGAACAAGGGTAAAAAAAGACATTAAACAATTTCCTGAATCTTTGGAAATGTTGTGTGGTGATGCCTATTTTCTGTTTCATCAGAACCTTGCAGGATTGAAAAGATAACATGTTGTATCTTCAGATCTTTACTGAGGTTCACTGATAAAAATAAAGAGTCTATTTCTAGGAGACAGAAATGAGAACTAGCAATCCCTATCTAGTTTCACTGCGGAACCAAGGCTTGCTTCCCAATTTTATCTTCCTGTGCAGGGAGGTGAAAAAAGGCAGAAAGCAAGAGAGAAGGTGAGGGAGAACAAACAAAAGTTTTCTACCAGGATAGCACAGGTAAGGAAACTGGATCTCTCTTCTCCTCATGAGTAAAATGAAGAACGTACAGAAAGAAGGTGATGGAAAAACCCCGGTAAGCTGTGCAGTTTCCCATTTGCAAGACCTAACTCAAATTCTCAACTAGCATATTGACCACTCTTCCACTCTTGGGGCATTTTTAACATAATAAACAAAAAGGTAGGTTTTGTCTGTACTTCACAAAAGTTCCACGCTCTTTTCCAAGTCTTTACAGTCTAATTTGTGACAAATCCGTGTGTTGCCTCAGCAAGAGGATGTGCTAGCCTAGCTCATGCTGCAGGTTTTTTTTTTTTATGCTTATCAACCACTCTCATGCTGAACTTGTGGCAATTGCTTTCTCCCCAATAAACAACATCACCTCAGTCTCTCAAGAGAGAAGCCTCTTCCCCATTTCAGCACCTGGGCTTATCCAATTACGTGGACACCACCTAGGAATGTCCCTAGCCAAAATTTATTGGCAGAGTGCTTTGAGAACCTTTAAACAAATGCTTATGTTGCTCTTACACTCTTCCTTATGCAACTGCTGAGTATAATTGCAGAAAGAATACCGGGACAGATTTGATCTTCAGTCTCATTAATTTAATGTAGTTTTAGGCAAAGCGGTGAAAAGAATTATTGTTTGGAAAGCAAATGAAATGGCAAAAAAAGAAGAAACAAACTGCTCTTATCCAACTGTACAGATCTTACTGTTACATCTACCCAAACTAGTCAGTACCCATCCGCTCAAACGGATAGGTATTTATCTGAGAATCACAGGGTTCTCCTCCACAGTGATCTGCTTTGGAAACCAGCAACAAGAGCCAAGATTTTAATAATTCTCTCACAAGACATCTGAACTTATTTAAATTTCAACTCTGGCTCAATAAACATTAACTAGGTAAAGAAAATAAAGAAAGGGTATTTTCATGCCAAAATGATTTTTCTGTTGGAGTTAAAAAAGTTCAACACAGAAATACAAATTTATTTTGATTGCGTTTTGCCAGTAGCATTCTGGCAGATGGCAGGTATTTTCCATTATTTTTTCTAAGCAGCAGTGCACCACCCAGACTATGCTGCCTGAGGAGGTGTTTTTATTACCAGCTGCTAGAGACAAAACCTGCCATAAACACCATACTCTGATAAATACCACTGTTAGCAGTGAAGAGGAAAAGAAATGGCATCATTCCTCGAATGTACTAGTTAAGACCACTCTGTCCCTTTCTCCATACAGGAGCTACCCACACTACAAAACTAGGTGACCTATGCTGACTGAATAAAGGGAGTTAATCCAGTTTTCAGATAGCAGACAATTCTCGAAGTCACTGCTCTTATTGCTAGCACAGAGAACTGTGGTAGGATTTTATGAATACAACCATGAGCCTTTGCTCTTAATGTGACAACATACATGAAACAGAGTTGAAGAAGTATTGGTCAGCTATTTTGGGAAGCCTGTCTTCCACTGATAACACATATAGCCTTTCTGGATGAAACTGCTGACAATTTATACTAGGTGGGATAACACCAAGTTAAAAAAAACTCGAAGAGGATACTGAAATATAAACAACACTGTTGTGTGACAGCAAAAAGATCAGCACCTAGAGTCCTGCAGTGAACTCCTCCAGGAGTTTCATTTGTCATTTCACACAGAAGAATCAAAAGCTAAACAAATTAGCCCACTCCAAATCCATACACAACCTGCACCACAAAAAATAGAAAGCATTTTGCCCATAACTTAGTGCTAGTTACTAAACTGAATTAAATGACCACTATGCGAAGGGGGAAAAAAATAAAAATGGGCATAAGCAGACTAAATTAATATTTAGAATAATAAATTAGATGAAGAACATGGAGAAAGTGAATGAAGAAGTTTTGCACTGGGTTGAACAATTTTATTAAAATATTCTGGAAATACTTTTATAAGGCATATAGGACAAAAGTAATTTACCCACCCATTAGAAATGTTGGTCTAAAAAAGATTTATCAGCTTTCTATAAATATGGAAGACAACAATTTAAAAAAAAATAGTATTTTTTCTCTTTTTATGTGGTTTCTTTTATGGAATCTGATGATAAACTTTTTAGTTACAGAAACAGGTTTTCGTTATGTACTATAATTAAAGAGAAAGAAAAGGTAAATTTTTCGTTTGCCATGTTCTTCTGTTCTGCAACAGAGAAGAGTATCTTGGCTTAGTGCGTTTAGCCTGGCTATTCAAGGGATGTTGTCAGAGGCAGAACAGAGAATACAGAATTCTAATGGCTGCACTCCTTCTCTGAAAGACCATCCCCTCATTGCCCAAAACCTGTAACGCGCATACTGTAGCAAGTCTGAGAGCTTTTTAATTTTGTAAGTTTAATTAAAATCTTTTCCTCCTCTCTTATTTACTTAATTATCTACTGCTATGCATTCTATTTTGGGTGAAAAATCTCACGTATCATACTCAGTGTTTAAGACTCACTTTGGAAATGGAGCCTTAAAAAACACTGCTGAAGGCGACGATGGAAAAAAGAAACACACAGAAAAATAAAAGTTAATTTTACATACCTAACTGCTGTAAGACAGTTGCTTTTACTTGTGCAGGAAGGTTTTCGATCTGCAAAAGTTGTTCATAAGCTTCCTTTGCAGAGTGATACTTTCTCTGCAAAAGGAAAAAAGTAAATGGATTAATCATAAAGCTTACAACAGATCACCAATAGCAATGATTTCACAGCACTGACAGCACACAAACACATTGACAAAAAATTATAAACTTTGGGGTTTTTTTTGCATACAGTGCATATGAAAGCTTTAATGAGTGACGTATATATACGGTAAGAGAGTAACTTTCATAAATATAGTATTTAATATAAATTGACCACTTAAAATAATTGAGGGAAATTTGCAAATTATTAGATTTAGTCAACTCCTAATTTATGAATTATGGTTCTTACACAAAATGAATATACTGCTTTTAAGGGGAATGCTTGAATGTGAGCCTACATCTGAAAAAACCCTACACAAATTCCACCCAGGAAATTCGTAACAGAAATGAAGATCATGGGTAATTGGTGGCTGGTATAATTTTGCCTCTCTCCTTCCTTTGGCATATTTGAACTGCCTTTTCAACATATTTGTTGTCCTGGTAAGAGTCCCACCATATGTAGAATTAAAACATATCCATGGATTATGCCTAGAGAATGAAGATATTCCATATCTTATTATTTGTTATATAGTTTAAGTGTGCTTAAAGCATGGAAACATTCAATTCTTAATGCCCTATATGAAGAGGTCTTGATATAGAAAACACATTTCCAGGGTAGGACTGTGGTCTTTATTGACTTCTGGAACAGTATGAGCTGTTTTGTAGATATTAAAGGTTAAGACTTCTCGATAGATGAATTTTTTTCTAATAATGTCAGCATTTATCTTTGTGTTACCCTAACAATAATTGTTTAACAGTGAGTGTATTTTAAATGCTTAATTCTTCTGTTCCTCTTCTCCCACAAAAGTGTAGAAGACATGAATGCTGAGGTCTCTTAGTAAGAGTACTTTTTTTTTTAAAAAAAACATTCTAAAAATTCTATACCTTTTTTTTTTTTTTAAGAAAAACATGCTTTCAGATAATCCAACATTAAGGCTTCATTCTGGCAAACAGATGAAGAACGTACTAAAATAAATGGGGCCACCTAAATGCAAACAATCATGACTTACATTTGTTTTATGCAAAGAGTACACAGTACTGACTACTGGTGTTTTAAAAGGGACAACTGGGAGGAAAACTCTAAACAATATGAATACCTATTAGAAGTTAAAAATGTTATTAGGTTCTTGAGATCTCACAATCACAAAAGACAACTCTGTTGGTTTTAAAACCTTATTCTAGTCAGGAAAAAAAATTAAAGCAGCAATTACATACTTTCAAATGGAACAAGGGGAAGTTGGTAGAAAAGATTTTTAATTGGTGTTCATGAAATGCAGACAACTGGTAAGAAAACAAATAATATAAATAAATAAAATATCCATGGCCAGCAAAATAAAAACAATTAGGAAAAATTTTAAATTTAGCATTGGGAACGAAATTCGTAGTTTATGACTATGAAGGATAAGCAAATGAACAGAAGTTCACTGTACAGCATGACAGCAGAGGCAGCAATCCCGATGTCAAATAGATAAATATTAGTCCCTAATATTCCCACTTTGAAAGAGATGTTTACATGTTTGGGAGAATTCAGAAAGACATATTAAAACAGGGCATGCTTTCCAGATCTAGAGTATTTTTTAGTTTTGTTATTTGTTGTATTATTTACCCTTTAGAAATCTGTCTACATATATGCCTTAAAATATTACAGAAAACTCTCTTAATTTGGTATTATTTAGATATGTTAGTTCCAAAGATCCAAAGTCCTTGGTACTGGCTGCATCATGAATGGTCTTAGAAATGGGAAGAGGGAGGGGAACCCAGTCCAACATCTTTCTTTAGACACCATACAAGCTACCACCCTGAATAGCTAGAGGGACTCACACTGCCACAGATGAAATAATAGAAACTAGCATTAAACACCATGAAAAACCACTGCTAACTCTTATCAGTACCGGGCTATTCTCTTGTTCAGAGGCTGGCAACCCATCATTTAAACTCCAGTACTGTGAAGGTATTTAATTAAGAAATGAATTAACTTTTTCATTAAATATTAGAGAGTAGATAATTTTCAAATATATGGAGGGGTTCAGAAAACTGTAGCACTGTGTCCTGGAAAAGAAACCAAGCCACCAGCCTGCCTCCAAAAACATCTCTTCGTTGTGTCAGAGGTAATATCCAGAATGAAGTCAAGACCCTTTGTGGTTCCAAGTTTCTCAAATTCCAGAAAAGACGACGACACCCCTCCCAACCAGAACTGTGAGACAAACCAAGTCTAATAGCAGAATGCACTGAAACGTTTTTGCTCTGACTTGTGTTAAAAAAAAAGTTCCCGCTGCCTACGATTGTCAGTCAGAAAGCATAGCTTAAGCACTTGTAACACTGGTCACACAATTATATAAGGCACCTGGCATGGTGACCCGAGACGTTCAACTTTCTATTTTACTCTAGCAGATCAAAAGAACCAATGTGTTGAGGATGCTTTGTTATATAAATGTGTCAGATGTGCTCCAGTGCTCAGAATGAAATCTGGATGGTGGCCAGGTAAGAATCGCAACAGTCCATGAAGTTTCTTAATGGTGTTTTGGGACAGGGGATTTCTGTCTTGTCATATAGCTTTGCACCAAAAGCATTCAAAAGAAAAAATATTTTGTTTATCAAATTTGTGTTGTTTATTTATATATAAATACCTAAAGTAATTTTTCACCGTGCCATCAAAAGACAGCACTTATTTATTAAGCTCCTTTTCAACTGACTGAAAATGTAGTTTATTTAGGTCTGTCATCATTTTAATTACAACAGTCTTTGTTTAGATGACACATCCCTTCCTCAGTCATATGATACCTATAAACACGATAAAAGGGCATACAATCTACATAATACAAACAGTCAGCCAAATTACAAATATACAATAGCTATTTCAGCAGCTACTTGGTTTTAACTTACTTATATTCTGAAAGCTCAGTAAGTGTTCTGTAATTTTCCAAAAGATTCACCTAAAAACCTCTGTGGTAGAATTTGATACAGAATTAGTAACACAGCTTTACGTGCTGTTGACCTCAGATCTCTAATGTTTCTGTCACATATGTTCAGTTAAATTTGAAAATTTCATGTCAAAAAAAGGCACGTGGGCAAGTGGCTAGACTCAACTCTCTGTGTATGTATGTGTATGTATGAGTAACAATATGAATATATATAAATTGAGAAACTACACTTTTTGTATCTATATGTAACTTTTTAAATACATATATAATCTCATAAAAGAATTTTACTAGAAATCATGTTTAGGGATTTTTTTGCACTGAACTTGGGAGACTAGTAAATATGTAAGTTTATTAAAATAGCTACTCCATTTTATAGCATGACATAAAAAAAATGTTCTTAATTTAGCATCTATAATCTGAATTCCATAGATTGATTACATCATAGTTAGAAACTCAACCACACTTTATAAAAAGGAGCTTAAAGCTTACCTGGATTTCATATAAGTGAGCGATGTGAAACTGAACTGTAAGGGTGGGAAAATCAAAATTATTAGTTTTAATGAACCACAACAACAATTAAAGTATGTTTTTTCAAGTGAAAAAGTGCAAAACCAAGATAAATTACATTTTGAAGATACAAAAAAAGTACTTGTTTACATTGATATTTTACACTTAATATAATAGAACTGACAGAGAATGAATATGTATCATAACAAAGCACTAAGAGTGCAAACAGATATTACAGAAAGGCAGCCCATGGATTTTATTTGTATTCTGACATGCAGAGTCCATTAACCTTTCAGTAAACTTAGCAATAAAATTTCTTTAAGCAGAGATGCACAACAAGAGAATGCGGGTAATATTTTCTGTATATAACTGAGTTAAAAATAAAGATTTATTTTTTATTTTCATTCAACTGCCAAGGGACAGACTACCTGGGTTACAGAACAGAACAGAAAACTACATTATACACTACCAGCTTTATACAGGATCTTAAATTTTGGTGGTGTTTTTTTTTTTTTCCTTTCCTTTTTTGGAATTGTCTTTCCCCAGTTAAACTGAACTAAAAGCGTTAATAACAGATGGTATTCTGATCATTACTGTAAAGCACCTTAAATTCCTCATACGAATTGCACAGAATGCCATAATACTACTAGCAGCTCTCGGAGGCAAGAAAATTGCTGGCTGGAGAAAGAAAATGAAAGTTGTTCAAGAGTAAAAGCAGAGCGAAAATTATCCTCATGTTGCTCAAATCATTAAAGAAAAGGTGGAGTGCCTGATCTCTAAGGCTTGAGAACTGCCAACCTAGACTAGCCATCAACTGGTAAATAGCTAAAGCTAGTTGAGATGAATGTAATCCTTATTTTAATTTGATGAGGAAAGAAAAACTCCCTTGAGACAAACTTTTGCCTGATGTTCTTGAGGACTACAAGTAAGAAAATATCTGTGTTTGAGCCAAGCTCAATTTATTTCAATTACACAGATTTCTTTCTCCTGAAGCTACAGAATAGCATGACACAGAGGTTTATACAGGTAATTTGGAGTTGCAGGGTTTCTCTCTGGGTCATAAGGGAGGCGAAAAGCTCCCTTTGTGCACTGCTTTGTCCTTCACTATAAAGAAGGTAGCCCAGTGCACTTCAGAAACCAGGCCATAACAAAATGCATCATCTAAAATTTTAATAAACTTTTTGTGTTCCTTGCTAAAGGGCACATAACACACCCATTAAGTTCACCACACTGTCAAATTTCACACTGCACTGATGAAAGAAAAACCTCTGCTTTTGTTTCAGGAGTTCATTTATCTAAAAAATCTCTCCTTTATTTTTTTTCCCCTCATAGCAAAACCCCTTCAGTATGAAGCTACAAAACGAAGCCATGCCTTGCAGGGGAAAGAAATTAAAGCTATGACATTAGAGACTGCCTAAATAGAAAGAAGACATGCTTAGTACTCAAACATTTCTGCTAGGAAGACGCTCGCTGTAATGCTGTTACTCATCTAGCGCCTTTAGAAATGCAAGGGGTAGGATTAAGGCAACCTCAAGCATTTGTGTGACAGCAGCTGACGCCCTGGGCCAGAGTGCACGGTTCTCCTACCGAACCGCTAAGCGGTACAGAAGAACCTGACAAAGTACCTCACGTGCCTCTTCGCTCTCTTCCTTTGGGTTTGTCAGGCACCGTGCCCCAAGCCACGGCACAATGAAACCCTTAGATGGGGCCATACCTCTACATGAATCTGGGGGCAGAGGGGACTGTGGGGCAGGGGTTAGGAAAACCTTACAAAAATTCAGAGATACAGTGAAAACCGATAGAGTTAGTGAGAAATAACATGAACTAACGTGAAATATAATAAAGAATCACATATCTGGTAGAAAACAATAAAAGCCTATTGACTTAGGAAGAATTCTGCAAATAATTTTGCAGAATTGTCTGTGCCTGTTCCTGATAAGTGACATAGCTTTGGAGAAGGCCTTGTAGCACAGCTGGCTCCTTGATACCAATACAGCCAGCAGTTTCACTCATGTAAACAAACCCCCTTTCATTACCCTTGCTGACAGAATATTCACTATTCCATCCAGCTCTGAATTAAAGTGATAAAAAAATGCTTTTAAATACTTTACCCAATGCTTCTGAAGTTAGACTTAGGAGGTAACTTAAGCTCAACATCAAGAGCAGCACAAAGGTACCTTAAAAACTGAGGGAGTAATTTCTTTCACAACTGTCTGCTTTTTAATTCTTACAGGCTCCAAAACATGCAGGAATATATGCTTAGTCTTGCATACAATTCTACTAACTATGGATAAACACCTGCAGGATGCTCTGTAACAGCCTACGGTATATACTGCATGTGACAGATCATACTACACTAAAAGATTAACGTGTTCAAGTACGGACAAATATATCCTATAGATAGTTGGCACCTAATCAAATAATCAATCAAATGATACTTTGTACTTTTTCTTACTTCAACAGCACAAGACTGATGCCGAATTTTATATCTATAAATTCAAACGGCATTAAAATGATCACTGAAAAATTACAGATTATCAAGATGCCACAAAGTTTTAAATAATTACTATTAAATGTGTGTTACGGCACAAGCACTACGTTTATAAATAAATAAATGAACAGTCAAATAGTACGTTTCCTTCAGAACTCAAGTCTTCAGAGCAATTAATAAGCTAAGTCTCATTTTTTACTTATTCCATTTACTAAACCAATCCACAATTCCACTGGAATATCTGTCTCCCCTGACAGATGGAGACAGGTTTTGTAGTCTTCCTCTCACAGTACTGATTCTGTTGATTTTGAAGGATTGGTTCATTGAAAATTGATACAGTTGTGAGCATAAGACTTTAAAAAAAAATCTACCACAAAATAAATGGGAATACTTATAGGTTACTTACTTTCAGCGTTAGACAAAGTGCAGGGATTGCAGTCAATCAAAGCTAACTGAAAATGCTGGAAAAAAAAAAAAGAATGTTTTTCAAACAAAGCAATACTAGCCTTTGGCAAATTATTAAGAATAAATCAATTTTGTACTTGAAAATGAATACTGCATGTGTCTTAAAGAAAACAATTTCCAATTTCTGTTCAACTGTTTACCAGAGGAAAGTAAGTTTTTTTTTAATCGTAAACATAGCAATGCTTCTAGTAATGCAAGATGGCAACAGACATCTTCACAAAACAATTGGGATAGCATCTGGAAGAATGATTGTATCAAATGAATGGTCAAAATTGGAAGATCAAGTTTCCCTCAGAACACACGACTGGGAATGTAGTCATACTAGCTCATAGCCTCATGGAGACAAACATCGAAGCTCTCAGTTTGTCTGTCTAGAAAAAAAGAGAATACTCTTCCTTCAAATTGAGTGATTTGAAGTCTTTTAAAAAAATTGATCTCTTGTCAAAAAGCACTTAAAATAAATACCTTTACATTGAAACACAAGTTCATAAGGAGTTTGTAAGTTCTTACATCTTCTCCAGGTATTAAGGTAACTTCAGGTAAACATTAAAGCTTGCTTATTTTTAATCACTTTTCCTCGAGAGAGATGAAAAATACCTTTTAAAACATCTTTACATTCAGAAGTTCTGAGCCAAGCATTTCACTCTGCTAGAAAGAAGGTCACACAAGCAGAGCAATGAAGCCTGTCTGCCAGAAAGTCTGGATGTGAGCAATCATTTCACAAGTGTCATGCTAATTCAGTGATCACTACTGACAGTTTGAAACAAAACCAAGTGTGTTAAAATGAATGGAACCGGCACAGAAACTCAAGTGCCTCTGAACTTTTCCACAAACTTTATAGAAAACTCCTACACTGTAGAATTTGAATTAATGTATTAATTCAATAGAGAATAAGGCCTAGGACTATAGGAACCTAAGAGATAGCATATCAAATACTACTGTTAATAAATACTGTTATCTACAAAATACAGTTTCAGGTGGCTTTTAATACACAAAACATTACTGATGCTATTTTATTTTGTTAGCACAAAAATAATAATTTAGCTCCAGCTGTTCAGGATGCTAAACTAGGTGAAATCAGGAGCTTAGTAGTATAGCCGGGAAGAAAAAAAAAAAAAATCCTTATTAATAGATGTATATGCAACTCACTTTCAGTATTGTCATACTCAGAGCTACTAGACACTACAGAACTTTCCTCATGGTCCTAATAATACCTCGTGTATAGCATGTCTATGTAACATAGATCTCAAAAATTTATAAGAAGAGTTTAACAGACCACCAAATTTCTAAATAAACATTTTTAACCAAAAAATTATTAGAAAATTAATGTATTATCCATAGTAAAACATACAAAAAAGAATGCTGACGCTCTCATGAGCTCTGCGAGGCACACAGTGACACAGCTTACCTCCTCACTGACTTCTATCAACATCCTTTGTAACATATAACAGCTTTGAAAAAATGAAACCAACTAGCAAACTTGAATGATAACACAAATTTATGATTTTTAATGAACCTTTTAGCAATATCATTCCCAGAAGAGAGCACAGAAAACAATGAATTCACATATACATTACTTGCAAAATAACTTTTTAACCTTAGAGCAAGCATTAAATAATAGCTTATAAATATTAAATATTAGTTTATTTCTCTGCCTTGCCTGTTCCTATTCCTAGTGTTCATCAGTAAGAGAACTGAAATCTCCCTTCACTTACATTGCAATGCAGGTTGTGTGCCTCAGAGACATCCTTTAGTCGGTTACCATAGTGATTCTACTAAGCAGGCAACTTAAAAAAAAAAAAGCCTAAATAAAAATAAAATGCTGTACTTTATACTGCATTTTGCCTGATGAAAGAAAAAAAAGGAACAGACCTATATACTTTGACCTGTACATTGAGCATACTGATCTAAATGGTACAAAATCCGTTTTGCACAGATGTGTCATCTTGCACTGTCACTAACAATTAATATGAAAAGATAAAGCAGAAAGGAACAGATTTGATCTCACCTAGCAATGCTATTATAAAAAATAAGCCGATCAAAAGAGAAACGATTGACAACTGTTCTGTAGTAGCTTTTCAGAAGGGTTATTGCAGTGAGACTCACTGAGAGAAAGCAGGCAACCATATAAGAAAATCTAACCATTTTAATATTTAAATATGCCAGTAGTATCAGTGCTGTACAGTGTAAAAAAAAAAAAAAAAAAAACAAGAAATTTCAACAAAGCCCCCTAAAAAATTAAATTTTTTAAATATGCCAGTAGTATCAGTGCTGTACAGTGTAAAAAAAAAAAAAAAAAAAGCAGGAATTTTCAGCAATGCCTCCTAAAAATTTAAATTCTTCCTGCTACATTAGCTGACTTTTAAATTTCAAAATGCACATTATGAAAATTTTCTAAGTGTAGTAAATTTCTGCCTGCACTGTTCACTAAGCCACGAACAGTAAAGAAATGGATAAACTGAAGCCCATAACTACAGCAAAATAAACCATTTGCACTGAACAATTATCACAAAGCAATACACAGAAAACCCAGAACCTTTCAAACCAAGAACCTTTGAAATGCACATACACGAGCAAACCTACCCCTCTTGCCAGATAAATAATACATAGCTCCCCGTTAAGTAGTCAAAATCAGACCAAAAAAAGCATGCATGCATTCTAACGGATAAAACTCATCAGCCAAAAGCAGCTCCACTAATCACAATTACCAGAACCAAAAATTTAAAAAAATAGTAATAATTTCCAACTTCCATTTCTGCAACAAACAGAAGCGGCTAGCAAACATCTGCACCTCTCTCAAATATTGCAGTACTGAAGCTGGCTACTGCTGTGTGAAATAGTTATTATGCAGGAGAGGCCGCTGCAGTTCAGAGACGACATACAATACCTCAAGGCAGACAGCAGTCTATAGAAATTCAAATCCCGAGTAAGAGGATTTACCTAGAAGGCAGCGTTCTGAATGTTAAAAAGTAACCGGCTCTCTTCAAGAGCTGCAGCTCAAGTCATAATATAGCTTGATTTGTAGCCATCTGTAATTGCACAATTATCTACAGCCTATTCTGCCTCCTCTGGAGTCCTTGACTTCCCTCTGATTGTGGAAACAATCTGGAAGGTAACCTTTGCAAGGATCAGAAGTACAGTGGATTACATATAAACAGAACTGATGAAAGCATTAGGTCTGGTAGTAAAATAACAGTAATCTGACACTGATTTAGGTAACTTAATTTGTTTTCACTACTAGAATTAAACACCAGTTCTCCTAACAAATTAGTCCTTTACAATTTAAGAGGCAACTATCCAGGTTTTTGTTGTTTCTTTAATCAATAAATGACCAACACAAAAAGAACGGTTTTCTTCTTAGTGCAAGATTTTTCAGTACTGTCTCTGTTTACATCCAAGCCTGAGACCTCAAAATAGTGGCTCCAGTCCCTCCTCCTCTCGAGGATGACATTAGCAAGTTAGAATCAGAACCTCTCGGTTCTGCATTTATTTAGCAAGCAAGGCAAGCCATCGTCTGAAACCTGACAATTCTCACAGACTTACCATGAAGGAAAGCTCCATCATGACTCAGTAAAATTCTGTCAGGAGATGGCTTGTTCTGCCTATGTGACCTAGGTGTGATGCCTATGTTCCTCAGAGCAGCCTTTGTTCAGATAAGTAGGACAGGGAGCGCCTTGCGTAATCAGCCGTGGCAGAGCGCCAAGCCTCCATTTGCCAGGCGTGTTTGGGGCCAGGGGAGCGGGTCAGGAGAGGACGAGGACGTGCTACACGTGCCGCTACGTCAGCTCATTGCTCCGCTCTCCGGCGCCTTCTGAATTCAGAACAAATTTTTGTTACGCTACACAAACAAAGGTTTGTGTAGTGTAAACACTCACGTTGCTTTTGTCCAACATTCTAAAAAAAGCCCTCGAGACTGAGGAAAACTGTTACACGGACAGCGCAGAAGGAAGCTGCTCGAGGGCAGAAGAAACTAAGGTCACATATACACGTAAACCGAGTAACAGCAGTGCGTTCAGAAGCTAGCTGTGTCTGAGAAATTCTTTTTGAACAGGAAGGCCAACATCTTATACAGTATATCAGAGTGTTTTTCCACAAAGCTATCTTACGTAATACCCACATCACACAGATACTCACTGTATCTAGGTAATACTCACATTGCCGGCATGTTTTATCATTTTTTGTGCAGCATCAAAATTTAGCTATCAGCGCGTTACAGCCCGAAGGACGGCCTGCAGTGACAAAACGCCATAGGGAAACGGGATGCCTGGCATCACCCTGGGGCCGAACTGCCCTGAGCCGGGGTCATTTCAGGACCTGCAGCTCTCTGCCCCAGCCCACACAGCCCACACAGCCACCCAGGCCGAACCGAAAGCACAGCATAATCCTTGCCGGCTACCTGCGGCTACCTAGCGGCTACCTAGCCAGTAAGCGCAGCTGGCTATTAGGGCGTGCTCCCAATGCCAACCCTTCAGTTACAGCTAATCAACCCAGACCAAGATCCACCTCCCACGAGGAGAAGGTCCACAAACGGCCTAAGCGTACCAGCACCAATACGCATTCGCTCGAACGCTCAACTTCAGAGTCAACTATTTCTCTTCTCGTGGTTTGTTCTTTCTCCCCGCCCAAATGACGGAAGATGCCACACAGCATGTGAATTCAATTTTAGCATTTACTGCTCTTCCTAATCATGACATTTCTAAAATACACTTATAGTTTTCTTTTACAGGAAAACTCCAAAATTACTCAAAAACCCATGCAAAACTAAGACAGAACAAAAGAAAACACTCTGTAGGCCCGACACTGTGCTACCGTGATCTACTGCCAAAACCAGCTGCACTAATAACTCCCGTGCCGTTTGATTACAGTGCCATGCTGCATTAAAAAACTTCCATGTTTTTACTTCTTGTCTACGTGCCTCCATCATACGCATATGCAAACTACAAAGACTTCGACAGCAATTTCATTCCCAAATCCTGTTTTCCATCCACTTACATTT